ATTAGGATTCCTATGCTGTGATGCTCATATAGTCGGCCACTGGAGGCCGACGACGGATGCTCCCCGTCCCGGACTGCACCTGGGCAAGAAGTCACAGCTGTCGATGCTCTGACGGGTTTAGGGGTTATTCCACGTGTTTCAACTGCACCATCAACCCCAGAGCCCAGCATGCACTGGTTCCTGAATCGTTGTTCCATTCTTCTTGCGACGAGCCGCCTGCATACTACTAGCATGAATGAAAGGTCGTTACATTTGCATCTATGGGGTCTGGATTGGTTCATCCAGGTAATTTGTAATTCAATGCGCCTTAGAAGGCTCAGAGGTCAAACCTGCTGTTCATGCCTTCGCGGTGGGGATGGGGCGATGGCCATGTGGAATAGCATACCCTGGTCGCCGTATGTGGTCGATGTTATTCGCAGCTGAGGTCTGTGGCAATGTCTTTGTGTAGCTCAGGCCAGAAACCTTGCTCGGTAAATTTTTGCAGGCGACCTAAGATTGGCTATGGCACTGTGACACTCCGTATTCTCTTTCTTCGAGTAACACTTTGGGGCCTCGCAATGTGCGGCAAAGCTCCATGCCATAACTGTGTAGTATAGGGGCCCCAATAATTACCTATACTATTTTGGAGGGTTCCTCAGTATGGTTATTACATATAATATCCCCCCCAAAGCCACATTTTCATTATTAAGGCCCCTACATTATACTACCTTACAGATTTCCTATACTAGCCACTTGGGTAGTGGTCAAAATTAAGGTCCCTTCTTGGGTACCCTAAATAATAGGTGCCGTATTCTAATCGGGGACCCAAAAAGGCACCCTAATTTCGACAACCACCCACTTACAGACCCCTTTAAAGGAGCCCTTTTCTGATTACTAAGGGCCCCTTAGATCCCTTAAACAAATCACTTATACTATCCCCTTATAGACCCCTTTAAAGGAGCCCTATGCTAATTATTACGGGCCCCTTAGATCCCTTAAAAAAAAATCTGCCGCGACTTCAGACTCCCAAGGCCCAGCAGCACGGATCCGAATCGCTTGGGAGACGCCGTCCGATGGATGCTGGACGAGGCAGTGGCTCACGAAGCTAGTATATACTATCTATAGTATAGCTAGTATATATATATATATACACACTATATGTATATATACGTAGCATAGCCAGTGAATACTTTACAATATTATCTTCAGTTCTAGTTTGCCGTTATTTTGCTGTATAGTTCATAGCATATTACAGAGACCAGGCTGCGGCTGTGAATTGTTTTTGGTCAGTGGATTACTCCGAAACCCAACATTCGAGCACAGCCTTTGACGCACTCCCTGCACAGTCGGATAGTGAGGAGATGTGAGGAGAAGGTTGTACAATGTGCCCGAAGAACGCCGCATGCATGTCATTGCCCTTCTGTCTTCAGACCCTTGTACTGGAGCTCCCCAAGATTTGTAGTAAATCGTGGTGAAGAGTATTCTCCGAGATTCATCTGCCAAGGGAAGGCTCCCATGGGTTTCAAGGCAAGGCCCGAAGTCACAACCTGTAGAGTTATGTTTGTTAAAGTTTAGTAATACGTAACGTAATGACACTCCTACTACTATTCTTACTACTATGGATTGGTATTTTCTGTGGTCTTATCAGTGTTGCGAGTAGTATGATTATTGCTGTTATGGTGATGCTGATGATGATGATGATGATTGTTGTTATCAGTATGGTTAGGACTATGATTATTTAGATGGTGTGACTACGGGTTAGCAATATTTACATTACTTTGCATTTTTAGTATTCTTCATTCTTCTTCTTAAAGATTCTTCAAACTGCTGTTATTGTTGCTACTATTAACTATGAACATATAGCCATTTAGCACTGAAGAGGCAGCGCGAACCCTCCACATGTCTCCGCTTCGAAGAAACACCCACCCTTGTCGTGCGCAGCGGAGTCGCTCGTGGCAGATCCGAGTCAGAGGCAGCAGCACCTTGCCACTAGTGGTCAAGAGTCCTTCGCAGCCGACTCCCGACCCAAGGAGGCGGAGAAGCCTCCTGAGTGGCATGCGGGCGCCTGAGTGGTGCGCTTGAATTTCCACAGTTCCGGGAACCCGCATTGGCATTTGTATAGTATAGGTCTTGAATCTGATCGAATCCGAATCGGATCCACAGGAACGGCGATTGTTTCGAGTCCAACTTGACTAGGTCTATGTATGATTGAGCCCATGTTCAGAGCACGGAGTCTATTCAATTAGAAATGCGGGAGCCCAAACCTAGCAGACTCAGGACTGGAGTTGGAGTGTTGGTAACAAACTCCGCTTCCGAACTGAAGTTAGCTTGTGGGCTTATGGGGAATGTTCGCCACGACAGCTTGCATGGCCCTTCTAATTCTGTAGGCTTGCACGCAAGAACCCGCCCGTCAATAACCTTCGTCGGATAGTACCTATAGTAGCCATTGTAGTTCCTTGTTTTGGTTAACCAGTTGTATGGTTAGGATCCTATAATATAGATTTTGGTGAACCAAAATAAAGGAACTACAATGGATACTATAGGTACTATTTTGGGGTTCCTTATTATAACTATAGTATAATGGGCCCCAAAACCCTATTCTAATAATTAAGGCCTCTATGGTACGGTCTCGTGCGACCTGCATTCTGCGACCCCTTCGCGAGCGCTCGGACCTGGCACCCAGCAGTCTCTCGCCCCAGAATGTTGTCCACAAGCACTAGGTTCACTATCCATCTGTATATATATATATAGGTTCTAGATAACTTTCCAGAGGTCAGTGAAAACATCGAAAGCTGAGTGCAGGGGCTTGAGCATGCTTGATTCTCCTGCCCAGGTCCTCTTGTTGGACAAAACCTTCGAAACCCGGCGCAACACAGCGGTGGCCTCTGTCCTCGAACATCACACCGTTGTGTTGGCATGGAAGTTTGAAGGTTCACGGTTCCTTCAGCTACTATAGGGGCCCAAATAAATACCAATACTATTTTGGAGGTTCCTTATTCTAGTTTTGTTTCATGGGCCCCAAAACCCTATTCTAATTATTAAGGCCCCTATAGTAAGGCTCAGGATGTTGCTCATTGTCATGGTGAAGGTGTTGCACACGGTTTGTGTATGATGTGGTGATGTAGGAGTGGGGACCCCTAACCATTCCTATATCGATACATGGTAGGTAGGATCCTCAGTACAAGGACCCGCAAAGCCGATACCCTCGGTGTCCGTCTGCAAGACAAGGTCTATCGCGTTACCTCGCCGCACCCTGAGCTTGCCAAAGCGGCATATCAGGCTCTGAGGCTCTGATTTGGTGGAGGAAGCGCACGCGGTTTGGAACCACGGCGAGTTTTGGGACGGCTTCAGGCTGGTTTTGAGATACGAGGGCTCAGGATGCGCCAGATCATACCGACTATGACACCCTCGAGTCTAAAGCATAGCTTGCCAGGTCCCTCATGCAGGAGCTGCCGCTCACATTGGCAGAAGCGCCCGGACACCTGGAGTAGAGCTACAGAGGCTAAGTTGGCACGGGCCTGAAATGCGCATACTATAGGGATCTGAAGATTGTTGTTAAGGATTTGCTCTGACAGCATCCGTATAGCCATGCTTTGATACACCCCGGAACCCTCTTGATGTTTGATTTGGTACCAGGTATACTGCCGGAAACTTCTGTGCAAAGCCGTCACATGCTGCGAGCCTGCAAGGAAGCTCGACTCTAAACCCTAAACCTCCTAAGCTCTCACCCTATTTTGCAAAACCGTGAAGCAAGTTGCGTGGTGTAGATGCTCCCTTCAAGGCGCAGCAAGGCCGAGCATGCCCGTGACCACTTCTTCTCGGCCACCTGCCTTGTGCAACAGTGTTTACGGCTTATAAGTTATAAGGGTTGACCTGAAAGAGTTCGGTAGATTCTCGGGATATGCTGGTCCGCACCTCACCGCGGTGTCGCTTGTCCCCATCACAAGTCTCGTTGCTTTCTGCAGAGTCGCCAAGGTGTGAGTCATAGTGTCAGATTCCATGCTCGAGTGCTTCGTCGAAGATTAGGTGGAAAGCCCCTGCTTCAGACTTTCCTGAGTCAATCTGAAGATGAGCCTTCATGGATCGTGGATTTGGTTCTTTTGACACCACACTCCAGGGTTTAGGGATGAGGACCACCTGAGACTGGGATGCTCGACCTTGGCGAGTCCCCGAACTCTGAAAGAAGAAGACTTCAGGTTCTCATCACAGACCCAGAATGGAGTCAGGCGATCCGTACAGCGCAGGCCACGGAACTAAGGAGCCTGGCTTGGGGAGAGGTCGGCAGTTGGCAGGCAGTCTCATCAACTTCAGGGGAGGGGGGGGGGGGTCGGTCGGTAGCCAAAGAGTTTTGAATTTGGGTGCAAGGAAAGCGGTGGCTTTGCGCAAAGCTCTACAGGGTTCCAGCATTTGGGAGCAGTCAGTCGCGACATGTAGCGGCTTAGGAGAGCCGGATTGCCAAGTTCCTGTTGGGGGCTGGTAAGTCGTTGCCAGGAGGCCAGAAGGGTCTACAACCGCAGTTCGCCAGACTTTTGCTTGAAGCGTTGGGGGTGCGGAAGTGTTCAGGGGTGTTGGTTCGACTCGTGATGTGTTGAAACTTTTATGTTGTGGGCTTGGGGTACTTCCTGGTACAGTTTGAAATCATAGCCTGTGTCGAATGCAAAAGAGGCTTTGCATTGAGTAAAGTGCTCGGGTGACGACGATTGCCGGCTCGGCTTCGAGGTGGCAGAGGCGACGACTCTGCTGAAGGAGGGGGATTGGCCGTCACGAAGGCCTCGTATCCAAAACCGTGCCTCATTGTGCTATCTGCTTGGGTTGTAGACCTTCAACAACCAACAAAAAATTGCACCCGAGAAGCACTCCAGCGAGCAGAGTCCCCGAAGGCTTTGTAGCAGCCGGCAGTGATAGTGTTTGTTGAATGTAGGGGTACCTTCTCGTCCTCAAAGTGGGCCGGTGACCAGTCCTGTAGTCTATGTTAGAGCCCTTTTTTAGGAATCCTTGGCCTCTCCACGGCCGCTGTCGCCATGGCCGCGAAAGTTCTTGGAAAAGCCTTGGAGGCATTTGTGGCTTGAAGACCTGAAGATTCGAATGATCCGGATAGATGAGGGTTGGGTGGAGCATCTTACGGCCTTGGGGAAGTCAAGATGTAAGGATTTAACACTTGGCGGTGGCAAAGCACGGGTTCAGAGAAGAGCTTTGGCATGTCTTGTTTGCGTCGTGGCTGAGTTGATGCAGACCAGACGAGCACAGAAGGGTTAGATGATGTAGGAGTCGCACATCATCTAACCCTGTTGTGCCCGTCTGGTCTGCATCGACCCAGGAGTTACTTGTTGTTCTTGAATGGTTTCGATTTGGACTCGTTGCCGACACTCGCTTCAAGTCCCAAGGACTTGCCTAGGAGAAGTCGCCAACGAGAGATCTAAAACAGCCAGCCCGAGTGATTAGAGAGGGTTTTTGAGCTGTTCTTCGAGCGCTCTTTCCTTCAATGTGCAGGCGTGAAAGAGAAGTGTTAAACAGCAGCACGCGTCTTTGCTGCTAGGAAGTTTGCCACTAACACGATTACACTACGTTCGGCTGAAGCGTGCCATCTCCCATGCCCGTCATAACAAGACCTTGCAACTTCAATGCTCTTCGACCTGCAGAGCCTCAATGCTTCAAGATATGGGAGTTTCCGACAATTAGGGGTACCTTATCTGCGGGTCCATTTCATAAGCACCCTATACACTACGTAATTTAAGTCAGGGTATTGTATTAGGGACCCCCCAATTTCGGAAACTCTCATATGTCTCTACTCGTAACTCTTACAACCGTACACGTAGTGTGTCTTGCATGGCATGACGAAAGCAACCGGGGTAGGTGGTGGCCACGAGACGCGCTGAACTGCGAGTCGAAGGCAGATTCAGTGTGGCGGTATTCGGTTTCCTGCCTGCCTGCCTGCCTGCTTGCCAAGTATGTACTACGTAAGTAAGCGTGTATATGTCTGCATGTAAAGTTTATTATTATATATATATGCATATATATATATATATATATATATATATGTATGTATGTATGTATGTATGTGTGAGGTGTGTGTATGTTGATTTATGTGTATTTGTACAGAAACGCCCACACGGTAACTGCAAGCAAACGAACCAGCAAATCGATAGACAGATGAGCGTGCGTATTTGTGTGTGCGTGAGTATCTGTGTGTTTGCATGTATATCTTTTTACAGTTGCTGGAACAACGTTCCTGCTTTTTGCATTCACATGCACGAGCAAGCACATATGTCTATTTCGAGCTTCTTACGGCCGTCTTATTGCCACTCATGTAGCAGAGACGACAGATATCTCTCACACAAATGACTGGCAGGCATTCTTAAAAGTATGTCTCTATATGTTTCGGTTGGCAGTAAACAGAATGCGCATGCAAGTCAGTGTGGTATGTTTACATAAACAACCATGTACATCTGTACTGTACGTCTGTCAGGGCATACAAATACCTGCGCAGTGAGTCAGAGTACAGAGGTCCCAGTGTATCATCCATCCGCTTTCGTCATTCGAGCTACAGTTACATCGCGCCCGTCGAACGATTGTTTATTTGGTTTGCTGTTCCCATGCTGCGGTCAAGGGTTTGTAGTTACGACTCGCAAACCTGGTATCATCGAAGCACATATGATGGGCTTAGAATGTGGGAATCCAAACAGTCGTCACCTATGACAGCGACTGAGTAGGGGCCTTAGCAACTAGAAGAATAGGGTCTCAGGGTGTGTTGTAGTACAGCTAAGATAAGGAGCCCCTCAAAACAATATCACTAAAACATATGATTCAGTCTTCTGCATTGCCTCGAGCGCAATGTGATGAGACATCGAACTCCAAGTGCCAATCACAAGGCTCCCAGGTCAAGGCCCCAGGTATCAAAGTAGCGCGTAGCCTGCTGTTGAACGTTTTCCCACATTCGTAGTCGCATGTCTTTGCCGGACAACATGAGTCGAATATGCGGTACGCATGCACATCTTGAATGGTGCGACCAACAGGTTTTTGTTGCACAAGTGCTCTTGTTGATCTATGGCCAACCAGTATCGAAACTTCATACAAAAAACCTTAGAACCTGTCTCGAGCCCTAAGAGGACCCTCATACTCAGAGCCCTTGCTTTCGTCAAACTCACTTTTGCTGCTTTAATCGGGCAGGCATGACATGTGCCGCCTGCAGTGGCGCAGTGACCCGAGCCCTGGAGGTGCACAGCTGTCAAACGTAAGAGACTCGAACATCGAGCCCAAATAGAGATATGTATATGTACGTATATATACATATAAACGGATGAATGTATGTATGTAAGTTTCTTGTATACACACAGATACACCGTTCGATAGTACTTTCCATGGGGTCAAAAGATGGGCCCCTCTGCTCAGAGCCCTCGACCACCGCTCCCCTAGGATCCCATAGATCCGAAAATCCAAACTCTGCTCCCTGATGTTTGTGGAGAACTGTAGAAGTGTTCGCATACGTGGCAGTGGCGAGGGCTGTCAGCTTCTTCGGGTTCGCGGAGTCTGCAGTCGCTATCATTCCACTTCTGTCGGCCTCTGCGACATGCGAGTTTGTAAGCTTGTTGAGCACAGCCTTTGCAGGCTCGACAGGGGGTGCGTGCAGCGGAGGCCGAGGGGATTCCCCGCAGATCGAAACTTCCTCCACTCTAAATTACGCGCAAGCTGCAGATATTGAGGAGACAGCGCAGGTTCGGAATCACAGATGGCTCATGCCATCCTGGAGTCCTAGTTATCCAACTACCAGTACTACGGACACACTTATGTGTGCTACATGCTATGATACCAGCAGTGCGACGGAGGGAGACCTGATGTCCAGGTGCAGGGATTTCAACTTCGTGTGCAGCGTCCGGACGTCGTAGAGGCTGCCTGCCTTTGCAGGTCAACCTGCTGAGGCAGCGTGCCAGCGTCGACTTCGATGCGGCGAAGGTGTCCGAAGATGATCTGTGCGTCTTGGTATAACACAGACCTTTGTTATTCTGATGATCCGAACGTTGACTGCTGTTGCAGGCTTTCATGGTCAATCCATCAGGCCTGAGGCAAGGGCTTCCGGTAAATTCATGTGTTTGGGAATCACCATCTCAGTCGTTGGTTGCAGCGAGTGCAGTTGCAACGTTGTGTTAACTGGACACTAGCACTCTTTATGATCAGCGGGACGAGATTGAAATCCAAAGTTGAAGCCCAACACCTGTGCACGTGTGTCTAAGCCAAACGCAAGCGAAGAAACACACACACACAGACACACACACACACACATACACACACACACACACACACACACACACACACATTTACGGGTATTTATGTACACCCTCATTTACCGACGCCTGGTCGTGCATCTTCGTCCTCCCCTGCTTCTGTGGTGGCATAGCAGTGCCCGAAGTCCGACATCCTACAGCTCGTACCAGTCCGAGTGTGAGCGCTGAAAGTTTGGGAAGCAATCGTAGCTCACTTAAAGCCCGGCAAAGCGAAATCCGAAACCAAACAAAGCTGGATAAGAGTGGAGCTAGAGCCGAGGGCCGGAGGGTGCGAGGAAGTCGCTCTGGTATGCTGCGTTTTCCCGGAGTCATCTTGTGGTCATCCTGATTGGCCTTACAATCTTCTAGTACTATTAGCCTATATTTGGTAATTTTCCTCATTTGTGTGTTTTCTGTCTCCGTAAATTATCAAAGCAAGCTCCGAGCTTGGCATGTGGAGGCCTGGAATCCTTGTTCAACCTGTGTACAACACCTCCTTATGCAACCCTTAAAACCCCTGATATGGACCATATCTCGTATACGACCCTTATGCAACCTATAGTTTTTCAGCTGCCTAGATTCTTACCTTGGGTTAGTAGGGTATGGAGGAATGGGGTACAGTTATAACTACTATTACTACCCTTCTTCCATTCCCTACTAACCAAAAACTAGAAGACAATTGGCCCGAAAGCATCATCAGCGAAGAGTGTTACGCTACGTCATAGAATCCAGTGTATAGGGTCATAGAGTCACCGAGTCAAAAGCACGGAGTCACAGAGTCGGAGTGTCACATACAGTCAAGAGTCGTACAAGTCATAGTTCATAGAGTCATCGAGAAATAGAGTCGAGTACATGTCAAGCACAAGTCATAGTTCAAAGAGTCATAGAGTCATATAGAGTCATAGAGTCACAGTGAGACAGAATCATAGAGTCATAGTGTTATAGAGTCATAGCGTCAGAGTGAGAAAGAGTCATAGAGTCATGGAGTCATCTATGTACCACGCACTTGACTTGATGTAGTTCACTCTATGAACACTAATGTTCAGGTTTAGCGGGTTTAGAGTATAGTCCAACATGACGCAGAAGTCTTCCTTTCCTAGCTCCGGAACCTCACTATATAGACATCCCTGATTACTGTGGTTTCAACGTGACTCTATGACTCTATGCATGGTCACTTTATGTCGCAGCAGTAGTAGTAGTAGTAGTAGTAGTAGTAGTACTAGCAGTACCAGTACTAGTAGTAGTGATAGTAGTGGTAGTCGTAGTAGTTGTAGTAGTAGTCGTCGTCGCGTAGTCGCAGTCGTGGTCGTAGTAGTAGTAGTAGTAGTAGTTGTTGTAGTTGTAGTTGTTGTTGTGGTACTAGTAGTAGTAGTAGTAGTAGTAGCAGTAGTAGCAGTAGCAGTAGTAGTGGTAGTAGTAGTGGTAGTAGTAGTAGTAGTAGTAGTAGTACAGTAGTAGTAGTAGTAGTAGTAGTAGTAGTAGTATTCTTTTGTAGTAGTGGTAGTAGTAGCAGTAGTAGTAGTAATAATAGTTGTAGTAGTGGTAGTGGTAGTAGTAGTACTAGTACTAGTTCGAACACTCGACAACGCCAATTTCTGTGAAGGGTTGCAAGTTTCACCTCAATGCACATCAAAAGTAATAACTTTACCTCGCGTTCGAACACTCGACAACGCCAATCTGTGTGAAGGGTTGCAAAATTCATCTCAATGCACATCAAAAATTGCAACTTTACCTCGCGTTCGAACACTCGACCACGCCAATCCCTGTGAAGGGTTGCAAAATTCATCTCAATGCTCATCAAAAATTGCAACTTTACCTCGCGTTCGAACACTCCACCACGCCAATCCTTGTGAAGGGTTGCAAAATTCATTTCAATGCTCATCAAAAATTGCAACTTTACCTCGCGTTCGAACACCCGACCACGCCAATCCTTGTGAAGGGTTGCAAAATTCATTTCAATGCAAATCAAAAAATGCAACTTTACCTCGCGTTCGAACACCCGACCACGCCAATCCCTGTGAAGGGTTGCAAAATGCAAATCCCTGTGAAGGGTTGCAAAAAAAATTGAACTGCACCCAAACCCTGTGAAGGGTTGCGCGGCGCCCGCAAGAAGTGTAACTTTACCTCGCGTTTGAACGCCCGAGGAGGCGAATCCCTGTGAAGGGTTGCGCGGGAACCCGCAAAATGTGTAACTTTACCTCGCGTTTGAACGCCCGAGGAGGCGAATCCCTGGGAAGGGTTGCGCGGGAACCCTAAAATGTGTAACTTTACCTCGCGTTTGAACGCCCGAGAGTTCCAATCCCTGGGAAGGGTTGCGCGGGCGCCTAAAATGTGTCACTTTACCTAGCGTTTGAACGCCCGAGGCAGCGAATCCCTGGGAAGGGTTGCGCGGTGCGCCTAAAATGTGTCACTTTACCTAGCGTTTGAACGCCCGAGGCAGCGAATCCCTGGGAAGGGTTGCGCGGTGCGCCTAAAATGTGTCACTTTACCTAGCGTTTGAACGCCCGAGGCAGCGAATCCCTGGGAAGGGTTGCGCGGGCGCCTAAAATGTGTAACTTTACCTAGCGTTTGGGCGCTCGAGGAGGCGAATCCCTGGGAAGGGTTGCGCGGGCCCTAAAATGTGTAACTTTACCTAGCGTTTGGGCGCTCGAGGAGGCGAATCCTTGGGAAGGGTTGCATTCCCGATGGACGACGACGGTGCCACCCCTGGCTTTAGAAGAGAGATTTAGATACCGAGATGTAGAGAGTATGTAGAGAGGTAGAGAGTAAGTCAGAGAGTAAGTCAGAGAGTAAGTCAGAGAGTAAGTCACAGAGTAAATCACAGAGTAAGTCAAGAGTAAGTCACGAGATGTAGAGAGTATGTAGAGAGGTACAGAGTAAGTCAGAGAGTAAGTCAGAGAGTAAGTAAGTCAGAGAGTAAGTCACAGAGTAAGTCACAGAGTAAGTCAAGAGTAAGTCACAGAGTAAGTCACAGAGTAAGTCACAGAGTAAGTCAAGAGTAAGTCACAGAGTAAGTCACAGAGTAAGTCACAGAGTAAGTCACAGAGTAAGTCACAAGTAAGTAAGTAAGTATCAAGTGTAGAGTCAAGTATCAAGTGTAGAGTAAAGTATGGAGTCAAGTAAGTTGATTCTATGTCTGTCATCTATGTACTCAACTGCGGCGTTCCACACGGAAGAACCCTTCGCGAAGCTTTCGGGAATTGCAACTTTACCTCGCGTTCGAACACTCCACCACGCCAATCCTTGTGAAGGGTTGCAAAATTCATTTCAATGCTCATCAAAAATTGCAACTTTACCTCGCGTTCGAACACTCCACCACGCCAATCCTTGTGAAGGGTTGCAAAATTCATTTCAATGCAAATCAAAAAATGCAACTTTACCTCGCGTTCGAACACCCGACCACGCCAATCCCTGTGAAGGGTTGCAAAATGCAAATCCCTGTGAAGGGTTGCAAAAAAAATTGAACTGCACCCAAACCCTGTGAAGGGTTGCGCGGCGCCCGCAAGAAGTGTAACTTTACCTCGCGTTTGAACGCCCGAGGAGGCGAATCCCTGTGAAGGGTTGCGCGGCGCCCGCAAGAAGTGTAACTTTACCTCGCGTTTGAACGCCCGAGGAGGCGAATCCCTGTGAAGGGTTGCGCGGGAACCGCAAAATGTGTAACTTTACCTCGCGTTTGAACGCCCGAGAGTTCCAATCCCTGGGAAGGGTTGCGCGGTGCGCCTAAAATGTGTCACTTTACCTAGCGTTTGAACGCCCGAGGCAGCGAATCCCTGGGAAGGGTTGCGCGGTGCGCCTAAAATGTGTCACTTTACCTAGCGTTTGAACGCCCGAGGCAGCGAATCCCTGGGAAGGGTTCACCGGTGCGCCTAAAATGTGTCACTTTACCTAGCGTTTGAACGCCCGAGGCAGCGAATCCCTGGGAAGGGTTCACCGGCGCGCCTAAAATGTGTCACTTTACCTAGCGTTTGAACGCCCGAGGCAGCGAATCCCTGGGAAGGGTTCACCGGTGCGCCTAAAATGTGTCACTTTACCTAGCGTTTGAACGCCCGAGGCAGCGAATCCCTGGGAAGGGTTCCCCGCGCGCCTAAAATGTGTAACTTTACCTAGCGTTTGAACGCCCGAGGCAGCGAATCCCTGGGAAGGGTTGCATTCCCGATGGACCCCGACGGTGCCACCCCCGCCTTTAAAAAGAAATATTAAGATACCGAGATTTGTAGATAGTATGTAGAGAGTAAGTCATAAGTCATAGTAAGTCATAGATGCATAGAGAGACAGTCATAAGTAAGTAATCATAAGTATAATCATAAGTAATAAGTAATAAGTAAGTAAGTAGAGTCAGTAAGTAAGTCAGTAAGTACTAAGTATAGTAAGTATAGCAAGTATAAGTAAGCAAGTCAAGTAAGTAAGTAAGTAAGTATAGAGATAGCATAACATAGAGTCCAGTGTCAAGTGTCAAGTAAGTTAATAAGTAGATTGAAGTAAGTAAGTAAGTAAGTCGTATATCAAGTGTAGAGTCAAGTATCATAGAGTCAAGTGTCAAGTGTAGAGAGTCAGTCATAGGGGTCAAGTAAGTAAGTAAGTATCAAGTGTAGAGTCAAGTATCAAGTGTAGAGTGTAGAGTAAGGAGTCAAGTAAGTTGATTCTATGTCTGTCATCTATGTACTCAACTGCGGCGTTCCACACGGAAGAACCCTTCGCGAAGCTTTCGGGAATAAAAAGTTAAGACGAGGCCAGCTGGTCGAAGATATCGGCTTCGATGCTTCGCTGGTCTCAACAGATCCGCTGCAGAATTCGGGGGTTTGCGGATTGGGATCTGCCTCTAGTCTCCATTGTAGTTCTTTTTTGGGGCTACCCTATGGGATCCTTAGTATATAATCGGTTAAACCAAAAAAAGGAACTACAATGGAGACTATACGTGGGGTTTGGGGATTAGGAACTTGATGATCATGGAGGGTTCGGTGATCAGGTTTGCGCATAAGGGATCGCAGCTTAGGGCGGTTGGGTATGTGGACTTGGGCTAAGCCGAGGCTTGCGGGTGGTTCAAGACCATCTGGCTTTAGCTGTCTCTAGCTGTGTGTAATTTGCTGGGAGCTACTAGCTTCCCGAATGAACCTTATGGCAACCTGCATTCAAGAATAGGTGCTGTATGCATGAACAGAAGCAAGTGCATGTATCACAGAGAGAGACAGAGAGGGAGACAGAGAGAGAGATAATGGATTTGCGGTGTGGAGCGTGTAGAAAGCATACACAAAACCAATGACCCGGTTTGTGGAACCCAGCGGCATTTCACGTTCCACACTTGCTAAATGGATGGGCATTGAACAACTCTGTTAGGCCGTACGTGCTTCATCCGGCTTTACCAGGCATCCGGCAGCAAAAACCCTTATTGTCATTATTGTAAAGGACTCTTATAGGTATAGCATGGCACAGCAAGCCCTGCCACATGGCCCTTGCGCCTTCCTGCGGCCTGAAATGAACGCAGACCAGCCTGCACCTTCCTTATTTAAACGCTGGAGGCCTCCGCCTCGAGAGGGTTGTAAGGGTACCATGAGGATACCCAGAGGCCCCGAAGTAGTTCCTTTTTGGGGTTCATATATAGAATCCTATAAGGTAATCCCCAAAAGGAACTACTTTGGGGCCTTTGGGTACTATAGGGTTACAAAACATGGGTGCTATAATAAAGTTTCCTGGAAGCTACTTAGAAGCCCCTGATATAGGCGGCCAAGATCAGATTGAGACATGAGCTTTGGCTTTGACGCGGAGGAGCAACGGCTGATGTCAAACATCGTGACCGTGCCAGGAACCGTAGCAGACCCAGAGTGGGGGGCCGAGCCGGAGCAAAGAGAGATCGACTGGACGATGCCGGACACCAGTGCAGTGGATGCGGAGACGAGTGGCTCGGAGCGGAAGCAGGAGGACGAGGATGGGGTGGGCCGTTACATGGATGTGGAGGTAGAGGTGTTGTTGGAGTATCTGACAGATGCAGCCGGTGATGCTGCAGACATTGACACAGTTTCAGAAGTACTAGCTACGAAAAAGGTGGACGTCAACGCTCGCAGTGATTTGGGGCTAACTGCACTGCATGAAGCGGTTCGGAGTGACAATCTCGACATAGTCAAGCTCCTTCTGGATTCGGGGGCTGATATCGAGGCTCCTGTCAGTGAAGATTACACTGGTTTGGGCCGCTTTCGCTTGAAGACGGTTTGCGATTTGGCAGCGGCCTATGGCAGTTTGCGCTCCTTCAAGCTTCTCCGTGAGCACAGTGCTTCCGTGACTGCCACGACGCTGGCTAGCCTGCTGCGCGGTGAGGGCCCTCGCTACACCGAGGCTGTTGAGGCATTGCTGATACAGGCCAGTGCAAACGCACAACCTGGGCAGGCCAGACTTCGAGAGCACCTCCGGGTACTCCTCCTTCCCTCCACGAACTTGGGCCTCGAGATTGTGGGTGCAGCGGTTGCTGCGGCTCAGGGCCTTCACGAGCAGAACCTCTTTGATGCTGCTGAGGTGGGCGTGACCTTATTGGAGATGCCCGTGCTGGCACCAGTGGCATGCGAGAGGATGGTCCTGGCTGCAGTGGCAGAGACCGCCAATGAGGAAATTGTCGCCACTGACACGGTCGATGCGCTGGTAGCGGCGGCATGGCTGCAGATGCGTGCTTCCACAGCACTGGACATTCTGCTGATGTTGGTGAGTGTGGTGTGTTTGTGCTTGGTCAGCTATGCCTACCGCCATGGAGGTGTAGATGCCATGCCGGCTCTGTGGATACTTGCAATTATCCACACCAAGGAAGCTCTCGAGTGGCTGGTGCAGGCTGCATATTTCTTATGGAGCAAGTGCTGCTCACCCTACGAAGAAGCTGCCGTGGGCCTGGAATCCCTGGCAGACCTGCTCTACCTGGTCACCGGCTATCTTGGCATAGTGCGTCAGATGGAGCTTCAGGAGCTGGAGCAAAGATTCCTCCCCGTTTTTTCTGCCATGGCGTGGCTGAGACTCCTCTACAGTCTACGCGGCGAGCGGTGGTTGGGACCTCGTTTGCTGCCCATCCTGTCGGCCGTCCGGGATACCCAGGCATTCTTTCTTGTGACTGTCCTGTGCCTGGCATCGGCGACCCATGCCTACTTCATCTTAAACCCAAGAGGGGAAGACCCACTACCGATCTACTCCTCCTTCACCCATACAGTGCGCCTTGGCATTTTTGGAGATTTCGATCTCTTCGAGTACCAGGGACAAGATACCACTTTCGCGGTGGATGCGACAGGCGTTTGGGTGCCCAACGATCCGGTTCCCGCTGAAATTGGCTATCCCTCGTTTGTATACCTGCAAGTCATCTTCTTTCTCACCGGCGTGGGCATCACCATCCTGCTCATGAACTTGCTTATCGGCGTCTTGGGCCAGAACTACGAAATCCACATGGATCGCGCCCAGGTCCTCTTCGTGCGGGCTCGGGCAAAGATGCTCTTGGAGCACCGCGGTCGGCCCCAGGCCAAGATCAAGCGCAGGCTCTGCCCAAAAAGGGGCTCTACGGAAGAGAAGGCGAGCGAAGAGGAGGTGAGCATAGCAAGGAGCAGCATGTCCGGGGCACATTGGTGCATGGCCGTGGTCGTACTCCTCAGTTTCCTGCCGGTCATGCTTTGTGTTATCGGCCCTCAGCACTGGGAGTCAGTTCTGGGCCCCCTGCGCTACAGGGTATTTCGGCACAGTGCCCTGGCCTTTCTGTTGTTCCTGGTTTTTCCCGTGATCCTCACACTGTCACTGGCATTGGCCGTGCCAGTCGCGCTCGTCTTGGTAAGTTTGTGGATCCTGGGCTTTCACATCCAGGGCATGCAGTACGCAATAAACTTCACTCTCTTCAACATCTTCGGGAATGACCGAGCGGCGAAATGCACCATCTACGCGATGGTGCGGACAGAGTCGGGCGTCGACGAGCTGCGCGGCATGCGCACCGATCTCAAGGACAAGATGCAGAAGCTGGAGGATGTACTGCAGAAGCAGCATCTCGCTCACAAGGAGAGCCTGGCCCAGCAGAAGGAATCGACACTCGGGACTCCCAGTAGTACCTTTGTGCCTTGTTGTTTTCACTGGGGGGTCTCCTTATCAAGCCCGAGTTTCAATGAACAAGGGTATCCGTATTCTTACTCATTATCATTACTGGGACTACTCTTATGATAGTGGTTATTATTTGTTCTTGTGACTTTCTCTTTATTCATTACTACGACGACGACATCTACTACTACTACTACTACTACTACTACTACTACCACCACCACGACTACTACTACTACTGCCACTACTGCCACTACTACGATTTCTACCACTACTGCCACTACTGCCACTACTACGACGACGACTACTACTACTTCTACTACTACTACTATTACTACTACTATTACTACTACTACTACTACTACTACTACTACTACTACTACTACTACTACTACTACTACTACTACTACTACTACTACTACTACTACTACTACTACTACTACTACTACTACTACTACTACTACTACTACTACTACTACTACTACAAGTACTAGTACTACCTACTTCTACTACTACCTACTTCTAAACTACTTCTTACTCCCACTACCACAACCACTGCCAACTACCACCACCAACTACCAACGACCAAGGACCACTAGCACCAGCACTAGCACTAGCACTAGCACTACCACCACCACCACCACCACCACCACCACCACCCACCCACCACGCACCACCCACCACCTCCACTACTACTGCTAATGCTACTGCTACTGCTACTGCTACTGCTGCTGCTGCTGCTACTGCTACTGCTACTGCTTCTGCTTCTGCTTCTGCTACTGCTGCGGCAACTGCTACCGCTACCGCGAACCCTACTACTATACTGGGACTATTTGTTTTTCTTGTGTAGTCTTATATTGTTATTTGTTCTATACTATTGAGGTTAAGATTATTACTCTTTGCTCTTCGTATTAATAGTGTCTTTACTATGGTTATCATTGTTACAGTCGATTGTTTGTGTTATTGTTTATACACATATATATATATATATACATATACATAATGTTCGTTATTGCAAGTTTTACTGGTACTACTGTTTCTTTATGCTATGTAGCTATATCTGCTATTGTTGCTATTAAGATCTTCACGATTGTTATCCGTACTGAAATCAGCAGTAGTCGTCGTAGTAGCAGTAGTAGTATGGTGGTAAATTTTAAAAGGGGCTACTGGGAAACCGAGGATACGAAGCCTGGACCAGAAACTGGACAAGATCCTGGCGCTGCTCGCGGGTTCCGCCGCTCCAGCGGAAGACTAGCTCTTACCGAGGTCCGAATGATCCCCTTATAGCCCCTATGTATATAGCGAGTTAGTTGCATGCTAGAACAGACCGGCAAGCCCGATTCTAACACCCCCCCTAAGCTAAAGTATGCAGAACCAAGCGTTTAGAGTGAAGACGCACGGATGGTCTTGTCCCGAGGGATAGCTGTTTCCGGCGAAAGTGCGCATGCCGCAGAATGCGCATGTGCGAAGTTGACAGCCTACAGCAATCCACTAAAACGGACCTCATTCCGGCAGCGAAGTATGCACACAGAGCTTTCCGTAGGCGCCTGCTTGGCATGGATGTAGTCAGCACTGGGCAGTCCAATAAAACGGATCGTAGCTGTCTAGGGAGCAGTTTCCTGGTCTGGGTTGAGGCGACGCCTTGTGGGAGTTTCCGCAAATAGGGGACCCTAATATAGTACCTTAAATACTAATAGGTAGCCCTAATTTTCGGAAACTACCTTATTCAAAAAACAGATGGCCCAAGCAGCGCCGGCTCTTTGGGGAGCTCCTTAAGGTCTAGCAGTCTAGCATCGAAGGCGAATCAGACATGAGCACAAGTTCGGGCTAATGGGCCTGGATATCAAAAAAGAGTGGTTACCGAGGCTGCAAGGCGTTCGTTGCAGTGGAGTTGTGCTCGTTTGGAGCTGGTATTCTGAAGCTGGGGTCCTGGGTGTTGGAGGCCGGGTAGATTGTGCCTTTGAGTGCGAGCTTGTTGCCTGCGGATATCTGAATTTTCACTCTGCGCATACTTGTCAACTTGCCTGAACAACCCCGGTGATGCTGTGCCTGACTTGTACTGGTGTGAGAGCCGAAGCCCTGGCCCCAACCAGCAGCCTTCTTCCCTAAACCTTCACCCTGAGCCCTCAACCCCATGGGTATACTGCAGGGCTTCGGTAGTGACGGCTTTGGTGCTTTTGTGGGTGGGGTTGAAAGATTAGATGCTTGGATTACCCGAACGAGGCCATTCACGCGTTATTAAGCTCAATGAATCTGAAGCAGCGTTTGGTACCCAAAACCTGAACCTCAAGCACCCGAAGCCAAGTCTGCCGACCTGTAACCGTAACCAGCCAGGAGCCAACAAAAACCGAAAAGCAAGCCCCTGAACCCTGAATCTTATGGGTAGTTCTCCCCTTTAGGGTCCCTTTTCTAAGGGTGCCGTACTATGTCTGGGATCTAAAACCAGGCCTTCATGTACAGAACTACCCATATGCCGCTGATCCTGGTCCCAACCTCGAGCCCCATGTCTGAAGACCAAGTAAGGCCCCATAGATCCATCGAGGCCTTCGAGGAACCCATAAACTGAAAGCCCTAAACCGCGGGAGCCCATCAAGCTAGCCTAGAACGGATCCCTGCATGTATCCCTATATATGTATGCATGTATGTATGTATAGAAAAATTGAAAGTGAAATGCATACATACATTTATATATACAAAAAGATAGAGATATAGGGGCAGAGGCATACACATACAGAATACATGCGTGGTTGAACTGTTATATATATATATATATATAACATGTATGTACATAACATGTATGTACCCTATGGCCCCCACATGGCCCATCTTGACCTAGGAAGAGCTGGGAAGCGAGGAGCCGGACCTGAAATCGGCAGAATTTAGCATTCGAGGTCCACCTGCATAACCGGGAGTTTAGGGTTTCGGGGTTGGGGTTTAGGGTTCAGGGGTTTAGGGTTCACAGGGTTGAGGAGTGTAGAGTTTAGGATGTTTAGGGTAACCGGGCATCGGCTAGTAGGGTCCGGGTTCTGAGCTTAGTCAGGGCTATGTCAGAGCTGCAAGCCTCCCATGGCTGTCACTTGAATTTCATGACAAAAAGCAAGTCAAGGTTTTGCGGTGTTCGGGGATTCGGTTTCAGACCTTTCCGTTTTTGTTTGGTTGTTAGGGTGCGTGAGGGTTATTCGGATGGTGCTTACCTGCGCCATCTCGGCCTGCGCCATGGTCAGTATACCCCCCAAAAGAAGCAGGGATCTCATAAGAGTCGCCTGTTTTTGAACAGCCTTACTTCTCCACAGCTTTGCATTCCGTATGGCCCCAGCCGTATCTACCTTTGCTTCGACAGTGTTCGAAGGCCCCGAGTGACATGAAGCTTCAACTTGAACCTTCGCCTGCGTTTCGATGTACGGCCCCATCATGGATCTCCGATTCGGAGTTGGCATGAACTAGCTCAGTCTTGCGTGAAGTTTAGCCTGTCCTCATAGTACGGCAAGCGCTTGGGCGTTTGCTGCGGTCATGCTGACTTAGACACTATATGGTCAGTCCTGTGGCAAAGTTGCGACCGGACATTCCGAAAGTCGTGGGGCAAGTGCCTGCCGTCAGTTGCTGCCCCTCCAGGAAGCCTGACAAGATCTCCTCGGTTGAAGCCATGGTCCTCCAAGGTTTCAATCGCCCGAGATCGTTAGGCTCTTGAGTCCCCGTGACAAGCGGCAGGCATGACTTGCGCTGCTTGCAGCGGCGCCGTGCAGAAGGCAAACCTCGTGGGGATAAAGGAATGCTATGCGGTAGTTGGGCCGCGGTTCGGAAGCAACTTGCCGTCAATTCTCTAGCAAATATTGATATGTCTGCAAAACTTTCCGTAAGCAGCAGTCACCGCAGTGGTAGTAGCAGATAGCAGTAGCAGCAGACGTTGCATGCGATCTGGAAGGCTTTGGAGAATATCCCGGGCGTGGAGCAGGCCTGGCAGGGGCAGGAAATCCTCGGATTCAGACCCCTATAAGCTCTCAACCCGCTTTAAAGGGAACTCCAGAAAGTTGGAATATGGATTAATGGTAGGATCCCCTATAATATACCTTAAAGGGGTTAGGATAATGATATTCCAACTTTCTGGCTTCTACTGTAGGGTTTAGGGACCAGCGTACGGAGTCCCTGCTGTGACGAGTCCATCCCGGCGCGTCAGCTGTCCTTGCATGACTTTGCAAGCCAGTGGCAAAAGGGAACAGCTGCTCAACCTGTCAGAACATCACTTGTGCAACATCAGCTGAAAGAACCCGAGAACAAAGCTTTTTGCTTCCTTGCTTCCAAGACTCAAGCAGAGTCACATTGAACTACAAACTCTAAACCCTGCAAGCCTGCAAGTGAAACCGCAATTTTCCCAGCTTCAGGTTGAAGTGAGCCTGCTGCGTGCCACTCGGATTGCTCCAGGTTGAAGTATACTTGTGGCCCTTGTGGCTTTGGAGCCGTTGGGCCTTTGAGTCTGCCGCTGCGGAATAATGGCTTTGCGCGTGTCAGCCCTCAACATTCGGAGTTCGGTCCTCGCAGGGCTGCAAGATTAATGTTTAAGGAATGAAGGGCTCACCCCGCTAACGGGTTTGGCGGATGTTCCAAGTCTTAACTAGTTCTTTCGGGCCAAAGGAAACTCTGGCCAAGGGTTTCTGCTTCAAGCAACCACACTTGCACAGAAAAGTTCCGAATATTCTTACAGCGGCCCGTCTTTTACTAAGTCAAGGCCTTCACTGTGTTGTCAAGGTGCCTAAAAGTTCAAGACGGAAGTAGCGAAATTGACCCCTAAGCACGGCTTATGTTGGACTTCGGGCGTAATGCAGATCCTAAACCGCGGGCCGTGGGCGAGAACCCGTGCCTACGAACCCTGCAGTCTCTACAGGACCCACGTTTAGACGGCGCTCAGGGTCATAGCACCGATGAGGCTGTCAAAAGCCTAGAAGTAGTAATATGGGGGCTTTAATATTACACTACTATGACAATGAGAAACCCCCAAAATGGTTTAGGTAATTATTTAGGCCCCTAAAGTAAGCCTCCAAGATTTCGAACCCTTTTCCGACTCGAGCGAGGAGCGAGCCGATGTCACTTTCAACGCCAACGTCGTCAATCCGGAGCAGCTGTGTTCCGAGATCGAGGCCCCGCGCTTTGCTGTTTAA